AGTGTTTTGCGCAGGAGCGGCAGCGGCAGCGGCAGCGGCAGCGGCAGCGGCAGCGGCAGCGGCAGCGGCAGCGGCAGGGCCCGGACGCGGAGCGCCACGCCCCGGCTAGCTGACGGGAACGGCGTGCGCGCCATCACCTTCACCTTTAATCACCTTTCGGCTGATGCAGGATGATCTAAACATAGCGCGTGTGACACCGTGTTGCTGTCAAGCTTAGCCTGGTCAGTTTAGTTTGTCCGATTCGTAAGGAGGTCGGGAGGCCTCGCTCCACTGCCGATGAATCTTAAGCACTGCAATCACGAGAATATAGGAATATACTCAATACAATATCGCATTTTCAGGCTTGCACCACTGGCTAATCCACGTAGGCTTGAGTTTCATCAAATTTGCAGTGCCAGAGCTGTTTCAGATTTGCTTGTGTCTTTGTAACCTTTCTAAATATTTAAATCGAACTTTTTGAACGGGTCGACCTCTGGCATCAGATTTCACGCTAAGCAGTCCTTGTTGTGTGAGTCCTTACCTCTACCATCCAATTGTGCAAATCCAGGCCAACGTCGGAATTTTGATGTCGAAAGTTTAACACGCGCTCTGGTGGGGGCCAAATTGATCCCCCGAATATTTTTCCAAAATGGTTTTCGAACGGCGCGATGCAGCCGCGTCAAATTTGTATAGCTGTAGACAATTGAATAGCATATCGTCTAACATCAACAATTTAGATGTATCTTGTAAGGTCGCTGACCTATGCCAGGTCAAGTCAGGCCATGGTTTCAGCGAAGGCAACTTCTTGGGAATCCTTCAATCTGATCCAACAACGGAATGTTAGACGAAGCCATACATCTCTGAGCTGCTTTCTTAGGCAACAAAACAATTGAACGAACAAATAACATTGACCACGGTTCAGGTATGAAGGTCGGACGAAGTTCAAACAAACCTGTTTTATTACTCTAGGCATGCGAGCGTGCGTCGTAAAGTACTTCAAGCGCACGCATCGCTGCATGGACGCTGGACGTGACGAGCGGGGGCGGCGAGGAACATGGTCGGAGTGGTGTTTAGATGTGTATCGAGCTGTCCCGGGTGACTGTCGTCACACGTGTTCGCGCTTATCTGTCCCGCACTGCTGCCGCCATAGGTTTTGCCTTGGCGAAGGGGAGATGAGGGCATCCCTGGCCATCGGCAGGACAGGATCAGCTCACTCAGACGATGAAGCGGCGGCGCGGCTAATTTGGAAGGGACGAGCTGGGTGTGTCCAGATGTCCCGCAGCACAGTCTGACTTACTCAGCGACACCAAGCCGACGCTCTGCCGGCATGTTTCACCATCAGGCCTGTGCCGATCGCGTGTCGCTGAACTGTTCAATTACTGAGTGCTGCGTTGTCCAGCTGCACAGTGCTTCAGCTCTGCGAACAGGACGCTTCAGTCGAAGTGGCGCTTTAGTGGCCATTTGGGTGATCATGTTTGTGGACGGCAAACATAATCAGCACTGTTATGCATGCGTAGTTGGTCCTATGTCATAAATAGCAAGTACTGCGCGGACTATAATGCAATTAGCTTTCCGTAGAGGGCACAAATGTGCACGATCAATTAAATGCATTGCGTCAAGAACGTTTCAAAGGCCGCGGCCTGGCTGGGATCGTGGGATCCTGGGAGCATAGATGTGAAGACCGATTCTCCAAAGAGAATCGGTCTTAAAAAAATAGGAAAATCCCAAAGAAAAGATTCTCCGAAGAACTCCATGCTCACGCTAGGCGGATTCATTTATCTCAGCTCGGTTGATGATGATGTGTTAAGGTCATGGTGATTACGCTGATTGAGCTGGATTTTCACACTCTGGTCACAACATGCTTCCCTTCCGCTGTTCTGTTAGCGTGCAATGCGTGAATGCGAAAGCGGTACATGTGCTTTGTGTCCCGCAACATTAACGCATAAATTTGCCGTTAGCACTTTGAGCAGCCGATTAACTGACCTTTGCTGTTCTGCAGTAGAACTGTGGGGATTGGACCAGGAGCAACGATTTGCATTCCCATATGAAGAGCCATGGTCCTCCTCATTTTTGATTTGGGCAATGTTGGTTTCGGTCCCTTAACACGCGCCCGGATGGCCGGTTGAATACCTTTCACTTGGGTGGACGTTAATTTGCCCCCCCCTGAGGTCTCGGGAACTAAGAGAGCTAGAGACGCCATATTCACAGGGTGTGTTGGCCTGTGCGTGAACGCCCTTGTGTCAGACATTCAGACACAGACATTTGACATTCCTAGATTATGAACTTTGGTTAAAAAGGGTCAAACGAGGTCAGTCTCCAGATTGGTGTCCAAAGTGCCCCAGAATCTAGATACCCTGTTCTAAGAAAAAGGTGGCTGGTATTCATTTAAGGTCAGTGACATTGCTTCGTAGGTTATGGTGACCAAAATCATACAAGACCGCTTTGGGTTGCGTTTAAATAAGCGTCAAAGATGGCGCTAGGCAGCATGTTCCTAAAACAAAATGTTGAACTGGGTTATTTTAGGTCAGTGACCTGTTATGGCCCCTAAGAAGTTGATAAAGGATGCATAATGCGGTTACTGTTATAAATAAATTCGAAATGAACATGATAAACTATCTAATACAGCAAGCTCTTGAGTAACAAAGGCAGGTTGGTTTGGCTTTGGTCTCACTTTCATATCTGACCCTAGGTCAATGAAATTTGTTCAATCAGTTGTTGCGTTGCCTAAGAAGCTATCTCAGAGACCAATGGCTTTATCTTACACTTCGTTATGACATCAAATTGAATGATTCCCTAAAGATTGTCTTCGTCGAGTCAATGTTCTGACTTCGACCTACCATAGGTTAACGATCTTGCAAGGTACATCCCAATTTTCGGTACTAAACGATCCGCTATATAATTGCTTACAGCCATGCAGCATTTGGTGCGGCTACGCCACGCCCTTTGGAAACCATTTTAGAAAACCTTCGAGGGGTCAAATTGACCCCTCGAAGTGCGCGTGGTGACACTAATCTGAGGACGAATTATTAATGATTAAGTATACTAAGCAAAACCATCACGAAACTGAGGGAAAATTAAGTATGACACAAAACCAACTTTCCTCAGACGATAATAGTTCTACTAGAAGGACTCGAAAAGCGAGAAACATTTCTTTTTTAATGGCATTGGCCAAATGGAAGTGGGACACAGTGTGAAGTGTGAAGATACAGATGTGTTGGGTGGGTTAGGTTGTCCGAGTCTCACTGCATCGGTTACATGTTGTTTCAAAGACAGATTACGTTTGGTAATGTTTAGAGGAGTGCACGCGTCGCCGTGGAAACTCAACCGCACTGTCTTCGAGTGACCAAAGTGGCTGGGAGCGTAGGAGAGTGGTCTTGGCTGGGGGTATGCCGGTGGTCGACGGTGAATCTGTCGAGTGTCTTCGAAAACCTGTCGTAAGAAGGCCGTGGGTCAGCCGTGGGAAGACCTTGAGTTGCCGTGAGCGCGGCGTGAGTCAGCCGTAATTTGGTCGTGATTCGGTCGCGACTGTGCCGGGAGCATTACGTGAGCTTGTATTGGCTAGGCAGTGAGTCAGTCGTGAACATGCCGCGAGCTGGTCACGAGTCCGCCGTGAGTCAGCTAGCTGTATGGAGCACGCCGTGACCGCCGTCCGTGGGACGTAAGTATATCATGAGCCTGCCACGTACCGACCGGAGCCGGCCAGCGCTTGGCCGGACATTGACCGTGAGTGTCGAGACGTTGCACCGGTTGCACGCCTATGCGGCCGCCGACCGCTGTCCGCAGATCGCTGATGCGACCGCTGGCCGCTGTCCGCAGATCGCTGATGCGGCCACTGACCGCTGTCCGCAGATCGCATCGCTGATGCGGCCACTGACCGCTGTCCGATCATCGATGACGCGGCCGCTGACCGCTGTCCGCAGATCGCTGATGCGGCCACTGACCGCTGTCCGATCATCGATGATGCGGCCGCTGACCGCTCTCCGCAGATCGCTGATGCGACCGCTGACCGCTGTCCGCAGACCGCTGATGCGGCCACTGAACGCTGTCCGCAGATGCGTCTGCTCGGGTCGCTGCTGTTGGCGTTGCTCTGCCTGGCTCTGCTCGGGCTCGACACCACGGAGGCCTTCAAACCCCGGCGGCAGTACGGCTGGCGAAAGCCGTACTTCTCGTGGCGTGACCCGCGGCTAGGACCGCACGCCAAGTTTACCTGGAATGAGGCCAGACGCTACTGCCGTCGGCTGGGATTGCAGCTGGTTTCCATCGACTCCTACCGCGAGAGCCAGGACATCGTCCACCTCATCGGCAAAGACCGTACGCCAGTGGGCAGGGCTGGGCCGTGTTCGCTGGCGAGGTTCGGGGAAGCGGCCTATTCAGCCGGCATCTGACGACGTTCAGAACCGCGCCTGAAATGAATTGACCTATTCCTGTCTTGCCATTTTATCTAAATGTGGCTAAAATAGTCCTGTCCTCCCTAAAACTACCGGGGTCCGGGTCCAAAGACGCTAGTGGCGGTTACGCCAATAGACCTGACCTAGGTCTAACCGTATGTTGGCTTGGCCTGACATGTTCGCCCTGACGTCTGTAATGCGGAAAAGGCGTTTATTTTTGTAAGTTCGGATGTTTTTTTCACGATGGTGTTGGGATTAGAATCCTCGCCGAGGAAAGCTTGTTGAGGAGATTCTGACTACACCAAACCACCACTTATTTTAGTTTAATATAAATGTCAACAGTAGGTTGTCGCATCACGCAATGTTGCAACACGACCACCCCTCTTTTGGCCCGGCCACTGAGCCAAATGCCGGCTGGCGGTCGAAAGTGAGCCAAATAATTCGGTTTCAAGAATGCGTCTGTCATGTGCCTGTCACGTATCTGTCATGCGTTGGTCGGGCTGCTCGACGCCTTATGCCACTTGCCAGAAACCCTCAGAGCCTAGAGGCTCCAAGCTTCTCGTCTTAGAGAATGCTATGTCCGGCTGATGTCGCGATGTGCAGCTGCTCGTCCTGCAACACGCGACGGCCCTGATGTCTGTGGTCAGACGTGATCTTCACTAGCGGCCCTGATGTCTGTGGTCAGACGTGATCTTCACTAGCGGCCCTGATGTCTGTGGTCAGACGTGCCCTACAACTGACGGCCCTGATGTCTGTGGTCAGACGTGTCCTCCGCTAACGGCGCTGATGTCTGTGGTCAGACGTGCCCTACATCTGGACGTCGGGCCGCATCGACTCCAGCGGCTATTTCTTCTGGACCGCGAGGGGCCGCCTGGTGAAGCCCTTCAACTGGTCCAGGACCGGCGGCGCGGGACGACCCCAGCCCGACAACCGCGAGGGCCATGAGGACTGCCTGGCCGTGCTCAACAACGTCTACAATGACGGTATCGTGTGGCACGACGTCGCCTGCGATCACCGCAAGCCCTTCATCTGCGAGTGATGCCTTAGATCGGCATCGATTCGGCGAGTATCAGTTCACTGGAACGTTCGCAAGCATGTAATGTCTGACATTCGTCGATGCGCGCATGCTTACAAAACATAATGCATGTGAAAGAGCGTAGACCAATAGGAGATGCTTTTTGTTCACCATGCGTCTGACTCTCGCGTTAGCCTGCACTCGCAGTGCATGGTTCCTTAGATGACTCGCATTCAGGCCGGTGGGAATGTTTGGCAAGGTCAACGAAAGACTTCTGTGAATTTATTCATGATCAGACAACAGTGCTCAGACTGCATACTGGCCTGACGACGAGCGTTTGAATGGCATATGTAAGGCCCCTGAGAAACGTAGTTGCATTTATGAAACATTCATTTATATTTAGCATAAAGTAGTTGGATTGAGTATGTTATTGGTGTATCGCAAGTTCCCTAAATCGTGCCATGCATTTACAAGACTGCGAAATGTACGCAAGCGGCTGCGACTTTTGGTAAAATGAGCACATTTGACGCGTGTCAGCTGGATATCGTCTGTTTCATTGTTTGCCTGTATCATGCGTAGCATCGCCTTTACTGACGTATATGTCTTCGCGCGGGTTGCTCAGCTCTCAGTAATCGGCTCCACTAAGGTCACGGGTGTATAACCACCCAGTCAGTGTGTACCAGGACTTGGGCAATAGACATAAGAGCAGGCGCCTTAGGAGCTCTCGGTGATCGGCTCCACTAAGGTCACGGGTGTATGACCACCCAGCCAGTGTGCACCAGGACTTGACGCAATAGACATAAGAGCAGGCGCCTCAGGCAGGCAGCCATGGAAGTCCTGGTCACTACAATGACAACACCCCCGCCACCTACCACCAGCCTCACATGTTTTGGCAAAGCTCTGTGACGTTTCAAGACTAACATGTCGTTTTATTTCACAGAAAAAGTAGATGCCAGCAAGAAAATTTTAAATCCAACGATGGTTGTGACTGAAACCGAACCATTCCCTCAGGGACCTAAAACAGACAGTGGCATCCGGGAAAGGACAGAGGGGAATGGGGTGACGCCGAACCTGATGCAATTCGAAGGCATCCAAATAAACTAAGAGTTGTGGTGAGCTGGCGCGTCAACAATCTGAACTGATGCTTCGAATCACGAGGGCCCCTTCGGGCCGCTCTTGACAGACAATAATTCGTCCGATTTGACGACCCAAAGGGTTGGTCGGAGGTCGCATCAATAGACGCCGGCCGCATTGCCGTGCCTTCAGATGCCTGTCAGAGAGCCCTTTACGTAGATCAAAGATCCCTTAGCCGATTAGGCCCTCTATGCCGGGCAGGCACGACCAGTACGAAACAGCCTCCTCCGTGTTGGTCTGGGCCTGAGGGTCCATTTCATATGCAGGGACGAGGCCAGGGACCGCAATTTGCACTGGTCGAGGCCCCTGAGTCAATGAGGGACCGCCGTGTCGGTAATAGAGCGCATGACAGGCGTCCAGTGTTGGTAAGGGGCCGTGTCGGCCGGCAGCAGTGTTCGAAAGGGCTCGAAGGGCTCGTCTGGAGTTACATTAAGGACCGACTAGCACTGCCGGCGTTGTAAGACAGTGAGACATTGGTACGAAGTCGCCAATCGCATGTCACCGGGCACTGCCGTACGCTCACCCAGGATGGACTGTGTATCAAGAGGCGCGTTGGAGGAATTTGGAGGACTGTCGAAATACACGGGGCTGAACGTATCAGTGCTTTGTACGATCTTAGTAACGCACAACATCCGCTCCATATGTCATGCGAGATCTCACCTTCCAAATTCTCATGCGCTTCAAACAACTGGCTTCAAACCATCGCCTTCATTCGCCGTTTTTCATATCGCGGACAGATAGGGGGGTCGATACGATCCCCCGACGTTTCCAAATGACGAAAAATAGAACACACCAGTAGATTGTTCTCAACGAGCCTTCGCGACCTGTACTAGTTGTTATGTTGTTATTTCAGTATTTGGCCCCAGTGTATCAGGTTAAAGGTCAGATTTTCCAAACAGTTACACCTTTTCAACCTTAAAGCATCATGCACACGAGACCATACCTCGTGACTACACGGAACCAACACAGGCGTGCTCCTTGTTCAACAAAAAGTGTGCATTTGTATGGGCTTTGAGCACGCATCTATGATATATGGCTCCATTAATGTGACAATGTCGGCGTTCCGCGGCATTGTTGGTTGCCACCCGCCGCCCGCGCTCGCCGTAGATCACCAAGCAATGTTCCTCAAAAACCGCCGCTGCTTCAGAACAGAAAAGCTAGGAGCACGTTTTTGGTGTCAAAACACGCGCAATGTGCACCCATAGACTGTATAAAATTTGGGCCCGATAGCACATGTCGGAGAAATATCCTAAAAAAACCTTGTGAGGCTCACATCGACCCAGGGCGAAGGGAAGAGGCCTGAGACGGAGTTCAAAAGAAACCAGGCGATCAAATGTGGCACTAGGAAACGTTGCTTTGTCATACACTGTGATGATAGAGCCACGCTGTTATAGCACATGGCTCTGTACTTTTTCGCACGTGAATAAGAGTGTATGCATCTGATTGGACTGTTGGCAAAGCTAAGCCCATTTTGTACACTTGACTCAGTTTCAAGGGATGCAACCAAAAACTGCTTGTAACCAGACTTAGCCCTAGATGCCAAGAACCGAAGACTTTGAGCTGCTGGCTTTCGATATTACAAGTTCCGAGGCCTTATGCTGAGTTCGCAGTCTTCAATATACCAGGATGTACTGGTTAAACAATATTATAGAGCAAACATTGGTTATATTTGCAACATTCGACGATTCAAGCCATGCTTATGATCACAATTGAAAAAGGTTGAGCACGGCTAAGCAAAAAGTGCGGCTAAAAACCAAGACATGTGACTCAAGAAGATGCCCGAATCTGCACAGACGTCAACAAAATAGTGTCAAAAATAACAAATCATCAGAGCTCCCACATCCTGTCACCAGGTATGCGGTTCTACGCTAAGGGCTGCACGAAATACAGGCAACTAAGCCGAAATGTTACGATTAACCACATTGAGTATTACATTGCCCAGGTGCAGGCGCCATGAGGATCGTCTAAAGCTCACGAGCAGTCGGGTCCTCACGTCACGTCCTCACGTCTCACGTATTGGAAAGTCAGCTCCTCACGATACACTGTACCGTTAAGATCTGCCCGAAAGATAAGGGCTAAGCCGAAATGCTTCGATGAACCGCATCGATTATCAGAATATAGATAAATTTGCAAGCAGACATTTGTGTTCGTCACAGCGAATGTAGAGCTATTCTAAGCGTGCATAATCTGAACAAAATTGTTCAAACCGGATTCCATTATAGCGTGTATGTGGTCAGCCTCGGACAGCGATCACGAATATATAGCAATTCTAAGACACTGAGGTCTGAGTGTCTTTGGCTGTTTTTGATTTTTTAATTTCAAAGTTAGTGTTTGTCGCAACGTGCTCCATTGATACTTATCGATACATCATTTGTCCCCTTGCGGTCTGAACGCACTACGTAAATGTGCGTTTCCAAGGTGTACATTAAATCGGTCACGAATGCTATGTTTTGTTTTTCATACACGAAATACTCGAGGCTCAGACTGAAATATATTTTATGGGCTACGCCCTTCCGCTTGCGCTTTCTATGGCAAGTAATTTTCTAATGTAGTACTCGATATGAGTCATCGTAACTATCCTGCTCATCCGTCTGCGTTTTGTGCAGCCCGTAGGGTAGAATTGTGTGTACGGTGTTTAGACGTCGGGGCTTGGACGTTTTACTATTTTTGGCAGTTTTTAATGACAATGTCTGCTAATGTTTGAGGCATTTTCTGGATTTCTGTGTCTTTGTTTTCGGGTACAATTTTTGTTTTAATTTTGGTCAACCTTCACTCATGAGGGTAAGCTGGTGTGAAAGGTCGAGTACTGTCCGTGGAACCGCCGTTTGCTCTGGATCGTCGTTTAATCAACACCTCCGGGTGTATTGAAGACCAGCAACTAACTACACGACCTCTGAGGTGGTGTTTACGAATAAAGGCTCGCTATCGTCTGGCGTCGAAATGTCAGACCTATAACATGTCACTAAAGCAAACAAACGTTCATTTCTTTACATGACAGAGGCCGTTGTCATGTGCAAATAGTCTGGCAAATACCTTGGCTGCAAAAACTTATGAGTCAAGATGTTCGTGTGAGCAGTTGATTACTGTGTTGTGGCATTGGGAAGTGTTCCGTGGCACCACGCCGTGTCGTGTGTTCTTTCGACATCGAATAGCTGTGTGTCGACTGCGGCTGGTATACATAAACAGACATAGACGACTGTGTCTTTTGTCTTTAAAAGAGAGCCGAACATTGTTGCCTTAAGTCATCGGATGGTCCGTGGTGCATCGGTCTTCCGAAACCCATCTTAGACATTCGAAATATATCCATGTTTTCACGAAACCCACTAAGTTGATCGGCTACCATTTTGTCTTCTGTGTATACAGCGCTGAAGGCAGAGATGGAACGAAGATGTAAGGGTCTTTTTACGGTCTTAACAAAGGACTGCAGCTAGTGATATCGCCTTTTAGGTGCAGAAATATCATTCTCCCGTCGGACCACGGGTACATGCAGTTCCCTCCCAGCTGATATTTCTGAGGCGCGGAATCACAGGGCGTTTCTGCGTACCATATTTAGTTCAGCCAGAACGAACGACAATCGGATGTACGTGCTGTTTTTTTGCATGTACGTGAGCGTGACGGTGTTTATTGTGAATGTGTAAACGCCTGTCACTGTTACCTACAATGTGCACCTGATTGGACTCATAGAGTCCACTATGTGGATGAATCCTAAAAAAACGAACATGAACAGGAACAGGGGCATGAACAGGAAGACGAACATGATGGACGTGAACATATTCGAACCATCAACACATTTTGATATGAACATAATTCTTTTTCAGTAGCTCACTCTGAAGGTTCATTCCCACGATACTTTTCATGCTCAAATATTTGTGATCACCACTACCTCATAA